GGGGGGGAGGCATACTTGAAATACACAGCTAAACTGTGGCAGTTTAACAAGTTGTTATGCTGTGAAGGTAGTTTATCTTGCTGCACTTGTAAACTAATGCACCTTGGATTCAACCACGCTGAAAGCAGTTTAAGAAGATGCATTTTATTTCACACTTGGAGTAGGCAACCAATGTGTATGTGCACAGTTGCGATGTCTTAATGACTACTGATGCCTTGTTAAGCATACAGAAATAGATCCTTTTCCTGAACCCCATGTAAACAATTTTACACTCTCCTGATTCTTACAGAAATATCGTATTCACTCATTGTAGAAGTTACAGTGACCGTTTTACTCCTGGTAATTCCACATTATTATGTCAAAACGAGGGCTTTTATTAGTGTTGGGAATTTAGATCCAATACCATTGATTTTAGTTAGTTTTTAGTTAGCTTAGCTTTAATTAGCTTTTTGGTAGCTTGACATATATGTATTTCCTATTTTGCCCTACATTTAGAAAAAAGAAATGCTATTTATAATGGTGTAGTACCAAGCAATGCGGCTGCTTTTTGTTTACTTTTGTTTATGCATATCAACATTATTGTTGGCAGGAATAAGCTTAGCTGAGGGAGTATTTTTGTCACTGTTGCAACAGTTGGTCCTTACACAATGTTTTATTTGGAGAATCACACCATCAAAATGGCTTTCTTGGCATGAGAGTAGTTTATCTGAGGAAAACTAGGTTGAACCCAGAAGATAGTTCTTATATATAACTTACCAAAAATATTGTGACTTAATTTATTTTTCTCTACAGAATGTCATAAATGATACCTCAAAATACACTTATTTATACATAACCAGATATAATACATGTAATATAGCAAATGCTTTTATAGTTAATAAAAAAATAGACCTAATTTGAAAAGAGCAAATGGAATGGGAAAGAACAAACAGTTTGTCATAATGAATTTAGAGGGAAATGCCTGTACTATCTCTGATATCTGGTGAAATGAGAGAATTCTTTCAGTGTTTGCAAAAGATCAGCCGTGCCCATTTTGAAGGATTTTTTAAATTTTTCACTGCTCCTGTAAAAGAAAATTCTCACTCTTATGACATGCCATCAGGCTTATATACTGTAGCAAGCTAGGAATCTGTTTAATTAAAATTGTAGTGCCACGAGGATTACTTTGTCATGCATGTTCTAAACTTAAAACGTTTATGACAAGAGTGGATCTGCCCGCTGCCAGCTCACGTGCTGGTGTGAGGGAAGAAGACCTTCTCCAGCTGTGGAGCACCAGGACATAGGCATCTGAGTGGCTCCAGCAGGCTTTTAGGTTCAGATCGACACTACTAGTTCAGACATTGAATGGCTCTGTAAGACGCTCAGGTGTCTCTTAGTGCCTGTGTCATCTGCTTTTTTATTACCTATGCTATGCTAGCACCGCTATGGATGAAGAGAGTAAATTGCAGTTCAGATTACATCTGTCGAAAGCTTTTGATTCATTCCCACTTACGCTTAATGTGAAGCAAATTCTTTAAAAGGTAGAGTAACTATTTCACATGTATGCCATGAATTTAATTTGTTCTTGAACTAGAAAAATGCTTTTTGCACTAGGTTGAATAATTTATTGTTTTAATGACATTTGGAAGCAGTGATACCTTGAGAATTAAGGTCCTTCAGCATTATTTGGCTTATTCTTACAGTTTTAATCCTTAATATGTACTGCATCTTAAGTATGTGATACTGGAAATATTTATCTTCGCATTTGGGACTGTGGTAGAAAATGTCATCTAGGTTATGTTGTATTTATGCAAGGTTAAGAACGCTCCATGCAAGAGAACATTTTTTAGGATTTGCACTGTTTCTCAGAAATTCCTCCCTTAGGTGAAAATTACCGTTGTTACTATATTTAGGAGTTGAGTTCTATTATATTGAAACTTCAGGTCACTTCTGCCCCTTCTTCTTTAGTTAAGATGATAGAGCATATTACTTGAGCATCAAAATATACCTGTAGAGTAACAGGAAGACACAAAGACGCACAGATACTCATTCTTCCGTAATGAAAATTGGTTATGTCTACATTCTCTTTCCAAAACTCTGCTGTTTTTCCTTCTCGGTAAGCTTTTAAAATAACTGAATGTTAATATGGTTCCTTAATATTACATCTCTTTTGGTAATCGAATAAAATTTGGATGTTTTTGATGTGTAGACACCAATAATAATGTCTGTGTACAGTCAAGAATGGTTCCTGGCTTCCCAGGAAAAGGCACTTGTCTAAGGGGAGTATGAAGCAAGTAGAAGGTGCCTGCACAGTGGAATCATCCAAATATGGCAGTGTTTCATTAGTTAACTGGTTATTTAATGACAAAATGTGACTTTTGGCTGGCTAACAACTCCATTACAAGTGTGGGCTATATGACAATTTTATTTTAAATAAAGAAAATTTCAGTATCCATTTCCTACTAATTCTATTCCACCTGGTGTTGCTTCTGTCAGTTTTGAATGTAGTAATGCATATTTGTTGCAGAACTAGCTTATTTAGTGTTCATGATTTTACAGAGGAATATGAAAAGAGAAAATACCATTTTTGCTCCTCTTAACAAGAATAAAACCATGCATAATATTTTTAGAAGGCAACAGACCAAACTTCTAGAGAGCAAGGTTTTGGTCCACACATCAGTGAGAAATATTTTGGAAATGTGAATTGTACATGACGTAGTAAGCAATTTTCAGCTTTATGAACATGGTAAAGTACACCTTGCTGTTACTATGACTGTTATTGAACTGAGTTTGTGAATATGAATGATTAACTGATTGCTAGAAAAGCTTTACATGTACGTATCTCTCATATATGTAGTTGTAATGCCTGTTTAGAAGTAGACGGGTTGATGTTGGTGTTGACCTTCTCAGTTTGACAATAGATTGCCAACTCTTTGTCTTCATGATTAGTAGCTGATAGAGGTGATCAATGAAATGGCCTTGAAATAGTATCTCATGTCATATAGATAAGTGTCCTATCTAGGATTTTTAATGTGGTGCACATAAGCAAAAATGCTGCTTTAAACACATGCACTGTAGTAGTATTTTGCAGATATTCTGTGAGAATGTTTTATGTTTCAGAGACTAGAAATTGTTTCTGTTCAGTGTAAAACCTGTATGAATAACTAGATACAACAACTTTTTTTTTTTTTTTTCCTCCAGACAGGTAATCTGCCCAACCCAAGAATCAGGAGTGGGTTGGTACTGATGGTATAATCTGGAATAAGACAGACAAAACTTCAGAGACTTAGATGCATTTAGTTCAAACCAGGGATCTGACCATTTAGTCTCTCTCTTTTCAGTGCATGCTTTAAAACTTTAAAAAAAGCGTAACTTTCTTGGGATACTTGGATAGGTTCCAGAGCTTCTAGTAATCAGTAATGTGTATACTGTTTTAAGGTACTTTTTGTCGGGTTCCTTCCATTCTACATTCTTTTCAAAGTAATTATTACCTCAAAACCTGCCAGTTTATCTCTCAAGCTATACTTATCATTGTGTTTCTTTCATTGCATGTTGATAAAAATACCAAATAATACATGAAGTAGTTCAGTAATGTAAAATCGAATTGAGTGTTGTGTATCAGAAAAAGGGTTTCTTGGTTATGTTTTCAAAACAAAATCTTAGGTCTTTAAGCTGGGAGCATGAAAAAAAATAACTCCCATTTTCCTGCTGCAGTGAACAGGACAAGGAAAAAGGTTGATTAGATTATAATCTCAAGTTTAATTTCTAAACTCAGAGTTTTGAAAAATTTTTTTTAGTTTAAACAGGACTTAATCTGGTGTCAAAGCTCCAACACCTTTGCATGGAAATAGATGATCATGACTAAGTTTGGAAACACTGTTTTGTGTGTACAGTAACTTAAGGTAGTATGTGTCTAGTAACTTTAGTCTCAAGAAATAGGTATTTCTTAATGAGATATTATTTAGGCATTGCATCTTAGGCAGAGACGAAAAATATTTATTCTGGACTCAAGGCATCTTTTTGGCACCAGTCAGGGGAGACTATAGAATCATGGAATAATATAGACTGGAAGGGACCTACACAGGTCATCTAGTCAAAACACCTGCTCCAGAAGGGTCTAATTAGATCACCTTGCTCAGGACTTATCTTTGAAAAGTCATCAGCAGTGGCTAAGGGATGCACTTCTCTCTCATTTCCTAGTGGATACCGCATTGCTCACAGAGGAAGAGGAAGGCAAATGATCTTACTTGCTCTGGGGAAAATAAATTTTAAGAATACAGTGAAAAATGTTGTCATATATGAAAAAATATATATCCTATTTGGTACTAGTCTGAGACATGGACTACTCTGCCCTCAAAATTAATTAATTGTATTTTACAGTTATGTGTTTCACAGTGTAGTAAATTCTCATGGGTTTCTATTTACAGTTTCCTGAATGTGGTTTCTACGGAATGTATGACAAAATTCTGCTCTTCCGCCATGACCCTACCTCTGAAAACATTCTCCAGTTGGTGAAATCAGCTGCAGATATTCAAGAAGGAGACCTAGTTGAAGTTGTCTTGTCAGGTAACTAAAAACCAGTAAAAATTACTGTCATGCTTTTGCAACCAAAAAGATCCACAGTATTTTTGTCCCAGTTAGGATTCAAGGAAAAGGAGATTTTGTTTGTATGGGCTTTCACCTACATTGGGTCAAAATCTTTCTTGGGTATATATTGACATATTAATGCCTATTATTTCTTTTTGTATTGCACTGTATACTTTTTAACAGCCTTTATTTTGTCCATATTACTGCAACAGGTTAATTTTAATAAGCAATTTGACACAGGTATACTCCACATTTTTAGAGGAAAAAAATCATCCTGTGTGGCAGCACAACCCTATTCAAAGAAGCACGGTAGAAATAAAATGTAGCAAGTAACAACAAAATGCAATAGATATTTTAATATTTACTTAATTAAAAGTAGCTTGAAAATTAGAATTGGTCTTCACATATCTTGCATGAAGTATCAACAGTTCAATATTTAATTGGATAGAGTATACATTTTTCTACTAGTCAGTGCAGTCAGTTCATAATTACCTGTGGAGGAATTGTCAAGGCCGTTCTGTCAGGGCTGCTCTCACTCCGTACATGGGATGAGGTATGTGACTGGGAATGGTGCAGAGTTCACAAGGGTAGGCAGTAGAGTGAATGCTGGAATTGTAAAGATGCAAAGGTGGTATTTGATAAATAAAACTTAGAAGATGGCTGAAGGGCTTTATTTTTGTGGTTGGAACATAAAGTTAGAGCATCTGGAAAGATGCTTAAAAATAGGGAGACACATATGTCATATAAAGGCAGAAACAATCTACAGGTGAGTGTAGGATTAGTGAAGAGAAAGCCAAAGTCCTAATGGATGCTGAAAAGAGTAGAGGTAAGAGTTAGGTCACATAATCGAAGTCAACTGAGCTTTTAAATATAGTTCTTGTACAGGACCCTATTCCATACTCTGTGATTAGAATAGGAAGAAATACAATAAGGAATAATGTAAGTCATTCCTGTAAGTCATCATTCATCTTTTCCATATCAGGAAACATTTTTTTCCCTTTTGAAAAGATACCAGTAATCTCTATTTCATATTTCCCACAGAATATAATCACTCCAGATCAGTAAAACGGATGCGGTGGAAAAAAATCAGCAAGGATTTTAGTGCTTTATTTGATGTATTGTTTATATGCTTTTGAAATGGAGACCACATATCTTCCCGTTTTCCAAAATTGGGCAAGTAGCTGATTAAATCTTAAAGAGCAGCACTTTATGCAGTACTTGCAAGTGATAAAGGAGAACTATGCAGTTTAAGAGTATTAGGGGATTTATAGTTTTATACTTTTAGGTAAAGTGTCTCTCTACAAAAGTGGTCAAGCATAAGCAACTCAGCAATATTTACGGGAAGGCTATTAAACCAGTACTGTGTGAAAGTGTGGGTGGTACTTACAATTGCCCAGGTTCTGTGTATTTTTTTCCTCTCACCCTCCATCTTAGAGTACACATTGATGGCTGAAGGCCTGGAATTTTTAATATTACAAAGTACTGTTCTACTGTGTTCTAGTAACTAAATTTTAGCTAAAGGTAAATCTCCAAAATGCACTATTATAGGCTTCCTAATAATTCTGTTATACATTTATTGACAGTATTGATGAGCTCTATACTTTAATCTGGTTTTATTTATGATGAACTCATGAAAGAAATTTATCTTTGTTCATTACCTTCTTGTTCTTGATTTACGTAATTTCTGTGATGGACTGTTTCCCTATTGCAATTCAATGGCTGTGTCAACTGTATCAAAAGTTGTGCAGCTGTAGCAGTGTGTCATGATGGGCTGAAAAAAAGAAAAAGAAAATAGATAATTTAGGGGATCCAGATCTTTTAAAAGGTCATTGTAATGGAGGAAATTTGTAGATGAAGAAAATTCTTGTGTCTTGAATAAATTGGCAATGCAAAACGCACATGTGAGATTATGATATATTGAGAACTAAGTATAATTTTTTGCACACTGTTTCATAATTTTCCAGGAAATGGACTGTGATCATACCTGCATAGTCATAGTGTTTCTGGGTCTTTAATTGTTGATTTCATTAACTTGTTTTCACTGAAAGCAATTAGTAGTTCTAATCCCTGAGAATGGTTCTTGTTGCAGTTTTATCATCCTGTTAGTAGTAGTTAGAATTAGTTTCACAGAATGACAGATGCTAGGGGTTGGAAGGGACCTCTGTGGGTCATCTAGTCGAACCCTCCTGCCGAAGCAGGGTCACCTACAGCAGGCTGCACAGGACCCTGTCCAGGCAGGTCTTGAATATCTCCAGAGAAGGAGACTCCACAACCTCCCTGGGCAGCCTGTTCCAGTGCTCTGTCACCCTCAGAGGGAAGAAGTTCTTCCTCATGTTCAGACGGAACTTCCTGTGCTTCAGTTTGTGCCCATTGCCCCTTGTCCTGTTGCTGGGCACCAGTGAAAAGAGTCTGGCCCCATCCTCCTGACACCCACCCTTCAGATATTTGTAAGCATTTATTAGGTCCCCTCGCAGCCTTCTCTTCTTCAGGCTGAACAAGCCCAGTTCCCTCAACCTCTCCTCGCAGGAGAGATGTTCCAGTCCCCTCATCATCCTCGTAGCCCTCCGCTGGACTCTCTCCAGTAGCTCCTCATCGTTCTTGAAGTAGGGAGCCCAGAACTGGACACAGTACTCCAGATGGGGCCTCCCCAGGGCAGTGTAGAGGGGAAGGAGAACTTCCCTCGACCTGCTGGCCACATTCCTCCTAATGCATCCCAGGATCCCATTAGCTTTCTTGGCAGCCTTGGTTTGGTTTTGGTGTTGTTCTCCCCCATATATCTAAAGCTACTTCTGGAAAACATAAGGGATAAGTATTACTATCTCTTTGACCAACTACCAGTCCAGTGCTAAAAACTGTTTCACATGTTATTTTGAGAGTGCCTAATTTATGTAATCTTAACTACAGCCATCGCTCATGTCCTCACTGAAATGAAGAACAGTACAGACAAAATGTAACAAGTAACAATAAAGTACAATAGATATTTTAACATATACTTAACAACAGAGTAGCTTGAAAATTAGAATTGGTCTTCACATATCACAGAATCACAGAATCACAGAATAGTAGGGGTTGGAAGGGACCTCTGTGGGTCATCTAGTCCAACTCCCCTGCCAAAGCAGGGTCACCTACAGCAGGCCGCACAGGACCTTGTCCAGGTGGGTCTTGAATATCTCCAGAGAAGGAGACTCCACAACCTCCCTGGGCAGCCTGTTCCAGTGCTCCGTCACCCTCAGAGGGAAGAAGTTCTTCCTCATGTTCAGACGGAACTTCCTGTGCCTCAGTTTGTGCCCATTGCCCCTTGTCCTGTCACTGGGCACCACTGAAAAGACCTTGACCCCATCCTCCTGACACCCACCCTTCAGATAAATATCTGAAGCATTTCCATTTGCCTTCTTGGCAGCCAGGGCACACTGCTGGTTCATGGTTAACCTGTCGTCCACCAGGACACCCAGGTCCTTCTCTGCAGAGCTGCACTCCAGCAGGTCTGTCCCAAGCCTGTACTGGTGCATGAGGTTGTTCCTCCCCAGGTGCAGGACCCTGCATTTGCCTTTGTTGAACCTCATCAGGTTCCTCTCTGCCCAGCTTTCCAGCCTATCTAGGTCACGCTGAATGGCAGCACAGCCTTCTGGTGTATCTACCACACCTCCCAGTTTGGTGTCATCAGCAAACTTGCTGAGGGTACATTCTAACTCTTCATCCAGGTCGCTGATGAATAAGTTAAACAAGACTGGGCCCAGTACTGACCCCTGGGGGACACCACTTGTTACCAGCCTCCAACTAGACTCAGCGCTGCTGATGACAACCCTCTGAGTTCTGCCATTCAGCCAGTTCTTAATCCACTTCACCGACCACTCATCCAGCCCACACTTCCTCAGCTTCCCTAGGAGGATATCATGGGAGACTGTGTCGAAAGCCTTGCTGAAGTCCAGGTGGACAACATCCACGGCTCTCCCTTCGTCTACCCAGCCAGTCATGTCATCGTAGAAAGCTATTAGATTGGTCAGGCATGATTTCCCCTTGGTGAATCCATGCTGACTACTCCTGATAACCTTCTTTTCTTGCATGAAGTATCAGCAGTTTAATATTTCATTGCATAGAGTATAAACCTAATGCTTTTCCCTAGTCTTGCTGCTTTAGTTAAGGTGAACCTTACTGTTCCTTCATATTTAATCAAAAGGTATTCTCTCTTAAGCTTGTGGAAATCATCATAGCACAATATGGTGAAATGGGACTGAGAAGAGATTACAAACATGCACCTCAGATGCTTAAAGTAGGTCTGTGTTGTTACATGTATAATTATTAGTTGTCCTTTTTTCTTGTTCTTCATCTTCTCTCTTCTCTCCTGTTGCCCGAGTTCTTGTGTGAGTTAGTGCTCTGCTCTTGAACTATTCTGCTTGAGTGGGCTTTGGTAAGAAAGCTCATTTATGTAGGGTTCTGGTTTCATCTTTCACTCCTGTTATGCTTTAAGAAGCAAAACTGTGAATTAATGTACTTTAACAGCAGTTCTCCAGCATTTTCATTCCAAATATTGTTTATGTAAGGATGATTTCAGTTAATCTTTACCAAGCCATCATATCACCACAGATCACAAAAATACAACTGTAGGTCTTCTGGCTGCTAGTGACTGAATGCTCCACTCTTTTTGTAACAAATATAAGGCACTTCCTGACAAGAAGTGCTGTGGGGTTTTTTTGAAGCCGTTTGTACCACTTTTTAGATTCTTTAACTTTATGCCTACCACTTATGCCAGTGATCCTTCAGAAAACTACTATATAAAATCTTCTACAAGTTATTAGAACTTTGCATAAAAATGACATTTCTTGCACGTGACCTAAACAGATACCAAGGGATTTTGCAGCAGGTAGCAGTTTATAAGTATTAGAACGACCATTCAGATAGAATGGACTAAAGCAGTCAGGAAACAATATTTAAATTATTTCACTATCTTGACCCCAAACTATTTTGATATTTTAGTATTA